CATCAGTATGGCTAGACATCTGATTGCCTCAAGCTGAGATCAAAACCCGTCTGATTTGGTATATATTACACTGTCACTTTACTGACGAAGGCTAGATTTCCAACGCTGAACTGCGTACGATTTTTTGTGTGGCATACGAAACTCTTTTTTGACCGTCTTGAAAGTCGCATTCCCTTTGCGCACATCCCTGTGCCACGTCAGTCCGTTGGCATATCTAACTACCATCTTTGTTCATTTTACTAAAATGCGGGAGTCGTCTAAGTTTTTATCCTTGGGTCTACGTTCTTTCTCACGTTTATCAACAAACTTCCCAATGTCATCATTTACCCACTAAGTATTTATGATGATATAACAACTACTGACTACAGTCTAAATAGCATGTCCCGTGGGTCTGTCGAAGTAAAACTTTCAGCTTCTATCAAAATTGATAACCAATCTATTTTTAACTTAGTCAATAATTTATTATACTGAAACAAACTGCTTGGTCTCCTATGAAATTTCTTTGTGTCATGCCGGAGAATCTCTCAGAGACATTTACAAATCTACTATTCGTCCGTGCATTGAATACTGTTGCCATATCTGGTGTTCCTTTGAGTGAGTGAGTGAGTGAGTGAGTATGTATAGATAGAAATTTTCGGTAAAATAGATAGACGTGTCTGTAATGTTATCGGTCCTGACATGGTATCTTGACGTCATGATCTGGCTTCTTTCTGTTTTTACTATAAAGTAAAGGACATTAGCTCTAATGAGTGCTCCATTTGATATCTCGTCTACATGAATTTCAGTGTACTAAGAGACTGTCAAATAGATGTCAGGCTTTCAATGTTGAAATAGCTCGATGTATATGCAAGGTAAATCAGCATTTTGTCTTACTGAAAACGGTGTGTTGTAGCAGCAGTAGTAAATACGAATGCTGACACAATTGTCTTTTATATAACCACTTTTAAGTTCCTGTTTTCTCTCTTTAAATGGGATTAGTTCTTTCTTTTATGGATGCAACTCAGCTGTTCTTCAAGAAAATCGAGGATGATTGCATGATCATATTTTTATGACGCATAAAATTTCATTTGTTTGTGCCATTTAAATGCAAAATCTTTTATGTGCTTGAAAGATTTGTTTTCTGCACTAAAATATGAGTAGTAATATCATAATTACAGTATTTGGATATGTTCACAAATTGTGTTAGTTTGGTTTTTATTTTGGTAATATGCGAAGTGTCGATGGTATGCAGAATGGCATAGCAATCAAATAACAACGAATTGTTATCTCACAAAGAAGATATTCCACTTGTGTTAAACAAGACGAATTACGATAAACAAATAAAACTCACATTAAACCCAACAAATAAAGTAGTTCTAATTTTATAACCAACAATCTATTTCAAAAGTGTAAATTTACGTAGACTCTGCAAAATACAATTAAAATATCATAAGGGATTACCCCATTTTATATGACATGCAATTTCTTTCACTCCCAAACTGTGAGCAAATATTTCACACCCTGAAACTAGAATTAGTCAACGTAGATTTTGAAGCTTTTGTTTTACTAAAGTATCACACGATACAAGGCAAAATAACCACTCAAGGAAAGACGAAATAAGATTGTTGTATAAATGTAAAATGCCGAGTGGAAATTGGTACATAAAAGATACCCGTTCTTTAAAAACCATTGTTGGACATGATCACCAAAACATGAATTCCTAAAAAATAATTTATTTCATACCACAGTGAATATATATATATATATATATATATATATTTCTAAAAGTTCTTGTTCTATTTATTACTTTCCGTTTTACAGTTGGTGCTTTATTTGTTTCTTTAACAGCCAAAATATTTAGATAGGGATGTTTGGTTTCAGTTTCTAATATTATTGAAGGAACTTTGGTGTTTTCTTCACCTCATTTTAAATTCATTTCTTATGGATCATATATATATCTTTTCAAGATATGGATTCTCAATGGATGAAATTGTGCATTGGTATAATACGGATTCTATGCGGCATTTTTTGTTCAAAGGGCTATTTTCAGGGTTCCTACAATTACATCCTTTTTCATTATTATTTTCTAATTTCATTTTAGTATTTTTAATTGATTTCAGCATGCGTATTTTTCCACTTTTTTTAGAGCCCTTTTTAAATTTTCAGCACAGCTTTAATTTTAGAGTATTTATATTAAAAATACTAAGTTTACTGTTATTAGTAAAATGTATTTCGATTAAAGCTAGGAATATTTATCCGAGCTTAGTACTAACCATTTCGTTGATACTATTATTTTTATATATTTGATATTAGGTTTTTTGTAGTCACAGTTGTTTACAGCTTCGTTGGAAAAATTTCTAGGTTTACAGAATTTATAATTTTTTTCTCAATTCATGATATGTGCTTAATTAGAGTGGGAGGATGATTTGACCTGGGGTGTACATAGAATGGATTATATATATATATATATATATATATATATATATAATAAACAAACTTTAATCTTTAAAGAGTGTGTGCGTGTATATATATTTATATAGTAAGGCTGGTTTAAAAATTAATTTTCGCTCGTATGATTGTTGAGTGTCAAAGTTATATAAATAAAAATTTTATATCCTGACGTTTAGACTGGAAATAGTTGTCTACGAAGCTCTCAAGACGAGGTGCTGAACATGACATCAATCAGCTAAGGATATTTTTTATCTCTCTCCATATATATATATATATATATATATATATATATATATGCACAAATTCTGATCTTTATAAAGTAGCAAACATACATATAAGAAATATGGAGAAATTATATATATATATATATATATATATATATATATATTGATAAAAATATAATCTCTTAGCTGATGTTATATTCAGCACCTCGTCTCGAGAGATTCGTGGACTATATTTTCGTCATTTTTTTCCTCCGTTCATATTTCAGGAGAATATATGAATATATATATATATATATATATATATATATATATATATATATATATATAGAGAGAGAGAGAGAGGATGACGGACGGACGGAGTATATTTAGTCAGAAATTTTACCATGTTTGTTTGCTTAAAGACCAACAGAATTTCTTTGATAATTATTTTTTTTCTATCGTATCAGATAATTTCTTTCTTGTGAAAGTAAATATAATTTGTGTAATGTTCACCTTTTATATCTACTTTCAGAATCATTATAATGATTTAAACTTGCATCAAGCATTATCCTTAATTAAACTTACACCGGAAACAAAGATAATATTTCGAAATATAGGCAAAAGTAAACAATCATTTTATAAATATATTTCGATGGTGTTTGTACAAGCTGAAACGAAAACGGAGCGATAGACAAAAGCAAAACCTACAAAAATAATCTATTGTCTTATATTCGTTAAATGCTAAAATGTTTTTGCATTGATCAAAATATAAATGCAAGTGAGATATCAGCTGTCCATAGAATTCTCTCGAGCGAACCCTACAACATAAACATTGAACAAAATCCGAGAAGAAACTGAATAGAGACTTTGTTGAAAACCAATTCCATTAAGGAATTACGACTTGCATTATAACCGAAAGAATCCTGTTCACTAGAGAAGAGTTTAGTTTCATTTTATTTAAATAGTTTCAACGAGGTCAAAACCAATGATTTTCTTTTGGTAAGCATTTCGACTCCATCTTCCCCGCTGTAACATTTCTGGAGTCTCAGAGTTACTTTGTGTGCGTCTGTGTTTTTTATCTCTCTAACAGGCATGTTAATGTTTGTACATAAAACTGTTATGTCGTGTATCCACTAAGTTCTTATTCACTTCCGTTCTCGTTGGTGTCCATTTATTATATATATGAGCTACCTGCTCATATGCAAATTATACTAATTTGCATATCACTACAAAAACATTTAATTAGACAAATTAATCATATTTGTCGGTTTTCGCCATAAACTACACGGCATTTTTAGTGTAAAATAATAATACGATAAAAGCTACACACAACGATATCAGTTTTGTTTTTGAGTAATTTTTTCTGTGTATATAGTTGCTTGTTCGTGATTATGCTTCCCTCAAGAAAATCCAGAGATGGTTATGCAATGTGGTAGGTCCTGATCTGGCATCTCCTCTACAGTCATTTTCTCAAAGACTGGCCGTCTTTTCTACAAAGATTTTCATGGCAACTGCTCTGACGAGCTATTTTCGCTGGTTCCACAACGGTATGAATTTAAGCGTGCTACTAGTTTGGCATCTTGGTTCCATTCTTTCACTGTCGAGACAGTTAAATGCAACAGCCTTTTCTACTCCAACAGTAGAAATTTCCTTCTTCCTACTCGCTTCCCTGTTAGCTGTAATTTTCAAATATTCAAATGGAATGCCAATCGACATCTTCTGATGCCTTGATCCTGATTCTTGTCCTTCTATATATCCTTTCTTCAAACACCCGTCTTTACTCTTGCTCTGACTCTCTGGAACCCCTTGCGTGCTACTGCAACCGCCGACTTGCTTGGTGTGAAAGGCTTAATAACAGAAAAAAAAATAAAGAAAAATGTAAAAATTTGTGAGTGTGTGTAAGTTATTTTTTTTTTATTTATTTATTTTTTTACACGTGTTTTTACGTGTGCCTTTGTGCGTTTCTGTATGATACTTTATGTATTTATATGCCTGTTTGAGCATGTCAGATTGACCTATGTCCCAGGCAAGAACATATTCCACGAACGGGAAAGAGCGAGACTTGTTTTCCTGTTGGATACTGCGAGTTGACTTTCTTTCTCTATCTGGGAAAGATATATTCCTAAGGGGGGGAAAGGTCAGCATGGACTTCTAAGCTACTAGGGAGGCAGATTTAGCTCCTGGCCGGGGGTGCGAGTGGTGGTTAAAGAAAGCAACCTTACGGTTTCACTGCTTAAAACAAAACAATTTGACTGCCGCATTCGTATATGTATGTTGCGACATCACTAAGCGGTCAATCTGGCGATCTATGTTACTTATCTGCACCAATGGAAGCACCTTCTCTATCCCTGGATAATTATAGAATAATCAAAGAAACATTTCAAATTTACGAGTTACGTAATGAAAGAAGAAGACCTGGGAGGCTAAAAATACTAAGGAAGGAAAAAGAATCGAGAAGGAGAAGCAAAGAGTTACTGAAGGAAAAAGAATCGAGAAGGAAAGTTTTTTTTTACTGAAGGAAAAAGAATCGAGAAGGAGAAGCAAAGAGTTACTGAAGGAAAAAGAATCGAGAAGGAGAAGCACTGAGTTACTGAAGGAAAAAGAATCGAGAAGGAGAAGCACTGAGTTACTGAAGGAAAAAGAATCGAGAAGGAGAAGCACTGAGTTACTGAAGGAAAAAATCGAGAAGGAGAAGAGCGCTGAAGGAAAAGAATAGAGAAGGAGAAGTTAAGGAAAAGAATCGAGAAGGAAAAGCATTGAGTTACTGAAGGAAAAAAGAATCGAGAAGGAGAAGCACAGAGTTACTGAAGGAAAAAGAATCGAGAAGGAAAGAAGTTAATCGAAGGAAAAAAGAATCGAGAAGGAGAAGCACTGAGTTACTGAAGGAAAAACAATCGAGAAGAAGGAGCACAGAGTTACTGAAGGAAAAACAATCGAGAAGAAGAAGCACAGAGTTACTGAAGGAAAAAGAATCGAGAAGGAGAAGCACTGAGTTACTGAAGGAAAAACAATCGAGAAGAAGGAGCACAGAGTTACTGAAGGAAAAACAATCGAGAAGGAGAAGCACTGAGTTACTGTAGGAAAAACAATCGAGAAGAAGAAGCACTGAGTTACTGAAGGAAAAAGAATCGAGAAGAAGGAACACAGAGTTACTGAAGGAAAAAGAATCGAGAAGAAGAAGCACAGAGTTACTGAAGGAAAAAGAATCGAGAAGAAGGAACACAGAGTTACTGAAGGAAAAAGAATCGAGAAGAAGAAGCTGAGTTACTGAAGGAAAAGAATCGAGAAGAAGGAACAATCTGAAGGAAAAGAATCGAGAAGAAGGAACACAGAGTTACTGAAGGAAAAAAGAATCGAGAAGAAGGAACACGATATTACTGAAGGAAATAGAATCGAGAAGAAGAAGCGAGTCGCGTAAATAACATACTTGTATGAATGGTTGTCAGCACGATAACACAAGCGATAATGTTTAGAGAAACATAATAAGCGAAGTTGTGCAGAGTCCTAATCGACCAAGAACGGTAATTATTTCCCAGCCTGCAATCCCTTTGCCCACAGACGAAAACGTTGTATGCTTATCGTTGTTTTTTATGAATATTTCTATAGCAAATGTTCTAACAAATTACATTCCAGATATTCACATTAGAGAACCGCCATACCACGCAGATAGTGTCAAATCCTCTTCCTTCTCTTCGTAATTTATTGGTAAAGAGGAAATTCCTTCAGACAGTCCCTAAGCCAAAACTGTCACGTGGTAGAACAGACAGCCGAGTGAATCCTTTTTCAAACTCTACATAATTAACCCCTACAAATTTGGAGCTATTATATATCTTACATATCCTCATGATATGCATCTTTTCCCCTTCGCTTTACTATAAAAAAAAAAATCATTCAGCAACTGTCTACTGCAAATGGAATTTCATTTTTTGATCATCACATCTCAAGGAAAACAGGACTGCCACTAGTATACAGGGGGTTATAGAAAGTGAACATGTGTGGCACCATTTACGAGGCAGAGAAAGAAAGGAAGAAAGGGAAAGAAAGAAAAGAAAGGAAGGAAAAGTGAGGCGAGATCCGAATCATAGGTGATAAGCGAACACTACACGGCTAAGAGGCAATAAAAAAAAAGGTTATTTTGATAAGTGGCAATGGCGAAAGAGTGTCATTATAATGACAATGAGATTTGATAGTGGGAAGTAATTATCTAAGGATATGAAAACAAACTATTGGTATGGAAGGCATCTTATCAACACAGACCACCGGGCCAAGGGAAAATTCAAGTGAAAATGTTATTTCGATAAGTGACGAAAAGAAATAGGCGACTAAAAAAGACTTTGGACAGATATGAAAAAAATTAAAGGTCACCTACGAGTAATCGTTGACCGATTTTCCTATCTGGCCTGCGTGAATGGAATTGTGTTATCAAGAAATGTTCGCCAAAGAAAGTCCACTTGAAAAACGTTAATTTTCAAATTGACAAAACAGGTGTAGCTAGCTACAGCCTTAGTTAGATATGGAAAAATAAAAATCCCACACAAGCAGTCTCGCTAACTAAATTCTTTTGACAAAACAACTTTTTGCCTGCGATAATAAATTTATGTTATCAGGAATATGTGCCGAAGGAAAATGGGTGGGGACCCTAGGGTGTTTTTTCTTTCTTCCTGGAGACGCAGACTGACTGAAAACTTGGGGATAATACTTTTTGAGGCCATGTTAAGAATTCCAACCATCTTGATAAATTAGCGATAAAATACCTGACGTAGGCCACGTTTAGAACAAGAATTATGACCCCATTGTTCATATTTTACCGTTGGTGGCCAGAGAAATGATACGGCGATTAAGGAAGTAAAGGAAAAGCAAAAGATAATTTCTTTTTTTAGTTAAGCAAGATATTTTTTTTTTCCGAAACAAAGCCGCGGATTGTTCACGCCCGACTAAGACATCATTGGTTAAGTGGTGATCACGTGACGCACGAAGGAGGAGGAAAGATACCCGACCAAGACCTCATTGGCCGAGAGTGATCACGTGACGCACGAAGAATGCTGTCGACGCCCCCATCCAGAGTGTAAGTATGAGAAGTTGCTACGAAGAAGTGGGGAGGGAAGTTCACGCCCCTCAGAAGTATGGTGAAAAAGTGAGAGTGAGACAAAGTTCCCAAAAATGGAAAAGAGTGGAAAATCCCTAACCAGAAATAAAAGAGGTGGATATGTATTTAGAATTATCGAGGAACCCCCCCGGACGCCGACAGACCCACCCCGGTTTTGGTCGGCGTCAATAAAAGCCAGGCCCCAACAGGCAGAAATCAGTTCGGGCCCTGGCGGCAGAGATGAGTGTCCAGAGAGTTCGAGCTCCAGTTTCCAGAGTTGAAGCCGCCTCGAGATAGCTGACCAAGATTCACGCAAAATTCCGACTCCTCTTCAACCAAGAACAATTATTTTGAAGAGAGACTTAGGACCAGACCACCGAAATAAGTTTTTTCGACTTTCGTCCAAAGACACACCGAAACACAAATTTTTAGAGAGCAAACACCTTGAAGCGTTAAAAACTTGCCCTAGCGAAAATGACGTGTCACAATCCATAGAACGGGTCGGGGAGATAGATGCAGTCCTATGTATCGAACAATTAGACATAAAGTTTGTTACCTTTTTCTTTGATACTTTGAACTTTTTGAGTTTTCATTTTATTTTCTTTTATGCATATTTGTGTGTTATCACCCCCGTTGAACTCAATTTGCATTACGGCCCCAACCACTGTTTGATCTCGTCTGTCTAAGATCAATTCACAACGTGGGTAGGCAGACTGGAGATCAGTGCAGTTACCTTGGTAACCAGGCGTTGGACTAGAGTTGGGAACGGCGAGGCTGATATCAAATCTAACCAGATTCCCACCCGAATCACCAAGAGGTTAGAACGTCACATTTGGGTGCCGCGATCGATACCAAGCCAGTTGGTCGTCACAGTACGAGACAACACGACTGACGCGACAGGCGAACGTCACGTTTAGACAGCGACACCGGACGGAGCAGCGCGAGGAGCGAACAGCTGGCGCCGCGGCGAAGACGTCTGGTGGTGCTGTTTAGGGACGTCACAACTGGTGTCGTGACCGGGATAGGACCCTGGAACGGCCACATCACAACTGGCGCCGTGGTAGATCAGGATAGAACGTCACAGTTGGCGCTGCGACCGGGGGACGACGTCACACATGAGAGAAACTCGTGATTGAAGATAGGAAAAGATGAACTGAATTCAAGTAGATAGAAGATGGCGATTGACTTTGCATTTACATTTTTGAAAATTTTAGTCATCAGGAAGGCAACGGAAGGTATTTCCACGGGCGGGAAGTGCGAGAAGAGAATCTATTGAAGTAGAAGTGGCGGTTGCATTTAGCTGTTTCAACAGTAAAAGGTTGAGACGTAGACGCCCATCCAGTAGTACGCTAAAATTCATGTAGTCGGTACACCAGTGGAAAAAAGCTCGTCCGAGCAGTTGCTATAAGAATACTTACAGAAAAGACAGAAGAAAAGTCATGACAGGTCTTGGGACATGCATTGCGTGAACAATAATAAATAAAAAGCACTTACGTCTGTGTTAGAAATTCAGTTATGTCAAATCAGTAAAGTAATTAACTGAACGATTCAAAAATACATCAGATGAAAGAACACAGCTTAGAGACAATTCACTTATCAAAGCAGTTTTCTGCTCTCTATATTTCACGTTGTAAAGAGATCTTTATTAACTGAAAAATCGAAACAATTCTTGGTGTATAGGTCAATATTTTATGACACTACTTTGAAACTTGTAATTTAATTAATCAAAAATATTTCTTCATCTACCCACCGGCAACGAAAATAATATTCTTCGCTTTCAAAATTATTATCACCTGCAGATTCTCTGATTGTTCCTTAGAGTAAATGTAACGGTATTTCCTATTTTAGTTCTGTGATTCATTTACAGAACCAGCAGGCCGTCATAGACCACAGAGTTGCATATCTCTCAATGTTGGCACGAGATTATTATTGGCATATAATTTCCCTTCATTTCGAAGCTTAATTGAATTGCGTGTCGCCTGGTGACGCGAAAATCTTAAGTTTTTATTTAATTAACAAAAGGATATTCTTCTACGTTTCCAAAGCCTTTAGAACTTGGTCGATTATTTCTCTCCACAAGCTTCAATCTCTTGTATCTCTTATCGTGGATTATCCCTCTACATCTCTTAAAAAAAAAAAATTACTCTCCATTTTGCATTTGATGTGTCCTCTGGGAGTAAAGTGCTACAAGTCCCACTTTTCCTTTGTGTCCAAGTAATTTTATCTGTCTCTTTCTGATTTTTAATATAAGGGCCATACAAAAAGTTTTCAGGAAAAGAGAAGCAAAAATGTATACACTTTAGGATTGGGCTTGCAGTTCGTTCTAAAACATCCTTCAGTATCTGGAAAATTCGTAAACTTAAGGAATCAGCACATATGCTAAGCCACAAAAATCTCCTAAGCCGACCAAGCATAGAAATGAATACAATATGGGAACCAATAATAAGGAGTGCCAGAGAAAAGCGATAATAACAAAAGTTGCAATATGACCTCTGGTAAAAATGGTGGTGGGACATTAGGTTTATAATACCCAGAAATTCATACACAGATGTCCTCAAGGACACATGGCACAGTGGATAAAGGCGACGGTTAGATCCAGTGACAGGACCCAAAGTTCAATACCCGGTTATGGCAGTGGAGAAATTTCAGAGGGAAATTAACAGGAGATGATTGACATCCATTAAACATGGCACGTGGAACTAGAACAATCTACACCAGTTAGCGAAATAAAAGGTTCAGTTCGACATTCCAACCACCTGAAGAAGGCCAGAGCGTACAAAGTTCGAAACCTTGTAATAAATATGGCGACAAAGATGAGGACAATTGTCCGAATAATGTAAATAATGTTTAAAATATCCTATAAATCTGTGCTTCTAACGGCTCTGCCTAAACTAGGAAATTTTATTTACTATTTATTCATTCATTTATTTATTTTTCCTCAGTAGGAGTAGATAGGTTCACCTATCGTTCAGTTAACATAATACTCCTACTGAATTCAAAACCTACTGAGTGACGTTTGGGGACATTGAGTTATACTGTGTACCAAGTATCTGTATTCGGCTCTTCTAAAGTGATGATTGGTTCTTCACAAGATTTCAACACTAATCAAATGTGCGGGTAGTCTGCCTGGCTTTTGCTTCTAAGAACTGTGATGCTTAACCCTCATGCGCTGAAAACGAGGAGAGGGAGTGAGAGTCGAATATATGTTTTTTGTAGTGTTAACATTAAGTAATTGCTTAGAATGTTTTCTTAAACAAATTGCATATATGAATTGTGAAAATTGACGTACGAATACTTTTTGTAAATTTGTTCATTTCGACACAGAGTAGAAACTAAGTA